CTTTTTTGGGTAGTAATGTCTGAGGACATGGTGGAGGATGGATATGAAGACATAATGAATGTCGACATTTCGTCGGTCGCCATTGAGATGATGAGAAGAAAACATGAGTCGATTCCTCAGCTGAAATGTATCCTATTGAATGAAACTGTTTTAAGAAACACAATTTTATTGTTCTTTTCTCAAGGTGAAGTGCAAAATCTCTAGTGGGTTTTCCTAATACAAATCTAAATAGACATGCAAATGGATGTTAGAGACATGATCTTCTTCTCAGATAACTCATTTGACGGTGTCATTGATAAAGGTATGATGAGTACACAGTTCACCCTTATCTCATTGTAGTTATTTATTTCTATTTAGTATTTATAATTCGAATTCTCAATATTGGGTACTAAATTTGTGTCTTTTTGGTTTTTATAATACTCATCAATGTTGACATTTTTGCGACAATGGCCTGTCGAACCTCGTTGACTTAGGAACTCTTGATTCTTTGATGGTAAGATCCATTTTCAGATTTTGATATCACTCACTCTTGTTTGTTATGGGTATTCTCTGATGCTTTCATGTTGATTTTGATTTTAGTGCGGCGCCGATGCTCCAATAAGCGCGTCTCGAATGCTAGGGGAAGTCAGTAGGTTGGAGACTTGAAAAAGAAAAGAAAAGATTATTATGTATCTTAGTTTGTTCTATATCATTGTTTGCAGCAGCATTTTTTTTATTTTTTATTTTTTATTTTTTTCCCATCAATGAGCTATTGTTTGATTCCTATTTTATGAAGTAATAGGCTTTTTTTTTCCTTTCTTTTTTCATAGGCTTCTTAAACCCGGCGGAATCTATATGTTGGTAACTTTACTCTCCAAGAAAAGGCTTATTTTTCATTATTCTCATTCTTTTTAACATCTTTCATGTGAAAAGCCGAGGCATCTGATTGGATACTGAATTGCTATCTTACAGATAACTTATGGCGATCCTAAAGTAAGGATGCTGCATTTGAACAAACCAGCGTACAATTGGAAAATTCTGCTGTATATTATACGTAAGTTTTTCATTTATTTTACTTGTTCTCTCAGCTTTTTACCCTTTTTCAATTTATCTGATCTTTGTTTCTACAGTAATATAAAGTTTGGAACTATTAAGGATGTGAAAACAAAAGAAAAATTTAAATGAATAGAAGTTTGTATGAATATGCAGGTATGGATTAATGAATCTGGAAATCTTTCAGAATGTTTCATGAAATTATCTCTTTGTCTTGTGCATTAAGCAATTTTTGTCAATGTCTTTCTTTGAGCCTCTAATTCCGCCTTCACGTGGATAGTGGTGGATAAATTGTATCTTCTATCTAGGGAAGGATTTATTATTGATAAACTTTCCAATTTCCTTATTTCCTATTCTCATAGGTCCTCCCAACTGTTCCATGTTGTTATTGGTCATTGTCATTTCAACCTCAGTGACATAAAATAAAAGAAACATGGAGAGATTCATTTGTGCGAAATTCTCTGCGGGATGAATATGATCATCATGTGATGGTTGCAACCACACATCCTGCATCAACCTAGTCGATGCTCAGCGCAAAAGGGGCACTGATCCTTAAATCTCTGTTGATTCATTTTTAACTTCCTTTTGCAGCTAGACCTGGATTTGAAAGGCGTGAGGGTTGTAGTTCTTCACCTCGATCGTACTTGGAACCCGCTCCCACTACTGACAAGGGCTTACTCCCAGCAGATTTCGTTTTGGAAGATCCAGATTCGCACTACATATACATTTGCAGAAAGATGGATGATACAGAGCTAAGTAAAGCACCAAACTATGCATTGACAGCCAACGTGTTGTAGTAGTTATTTATGGCGCAACACTTATTTGAGTTGGTACCTCCTGCTTACAAGCTTCAACACGGGTGATAAACATTAAGCATTTTTGTGATTAGCAATTCTTATTGGACAATCAGGACTAATTATTGTTAGCATCCTTGTGGTGTTTTCTTGTAACAGATAAAGGGTTTTTTGTTTTGTTTTTTTTTTTTTTTTTTTTTTTTAGTGATAAAGTGTGGTAGTTTTTTTAAAAAAAAAAGGTTTTTTTTTTTTTTTTTTTTTTTTTTTTTTTTTTTTAGTGATAAAGTGTGGTAGCTTGACTTCTGGAATGGAAAATAAAGAAAAGGAAAGCTATAAAATGACAATTCTTTTGATGAAATTATAGTGAAAATATGCACCGCCTTTATATTTGCTTGTGCTTTCTAAAGTCTATTTTGGCTTCGAGATTTCCATTTATGAAGCATTCTATTTTGGGTAATAATTTCTTCAAGATATTGTTGAATTATTAGTGGCTTATTTGTGCTATCAGTTCTCAGTCTTTAGCTCGCTCTTTTTCTTCTTTTTTTTTTCTTTTCTTTTTAAAGGATATTCATTAAGGAAATCCACCAGAAACACAAGTCCAAACACAGAAAAATAAACATAAAAATAAAACATTAATAACAGCTCTTCTAAGCCACATGAGAAATTAATAACAGTAATTTTCGGTTTAATTTTAATAATTTTGTTTAAAAATTATGCTTTAGAAGCAGTTATATGTTGTCTCTCTACACTTTCCATTCGAACTACTGTTTAAACCTTTTCTACGGCTCATTTAAACTTTTCTGTTCAAATTTATAAACCAAATGAGCCTTTTAATTTTTGGAGACGCTGATTTGTCAGACTCGAGAGGCCTTCCTATCACCATATATAATAAACTTGCATTTCAAGCAAGCAAAGAAACTTGTAAAGTTATGGCGTTGGGAATAAATTAACAAACCTAAAAAGAGTGATAGAGATAAGCATGATCATTGATTTTTTCTTCCCACTAAATAGTCAAATTGTACATATAAGTCATCCAAATAGTAGTTGGATCATCTTAAAATAGGTCCCAATCGATTATAGTAAGCCAGGTAAAGAGGTAGAAAATATGGGAAATCTCATACATGGACAAATAAAGAAAACAAGTGAAATCATGTGGGATTCCCTCTCAAAACGGTAAGTTTTCCCTTTCAGCGGATATATTACGTTTTTTTCCTACCATTTTACCAAGTTTTACTACTTCCTTTCAAAAAAGGACAAATGTTTATATACTTTCTTTATGAAGTGATAAAAATTTCTTAATTCTGAAGGGGAAAAATGATATTTTGAGATCTATTTGAGGCTAAAAGTTTGAATTCAAGCTACAACTTTATTTAAATTTATGTTCTTTTGTAAAATTTGAGTTTGAACTTGAGTTTTAACTTGAGTTTGAGGCTAAAATATGAGTTCAAGTTCCCACTTCAACTCAAATTCTTAAGCTTAAACTCAAGGTTCCGATTGAGATGATTTTTTTTTTCTATGCGTTCACAATGAACAGACGAATAAAATCCCACTCATATACTCTATTAAAATTTTCCATCACCATTGAGTTTTTATTAAAATACTATCAAAATACAAATTCAAGTTTTGACCCACCTAAACACAAATTCAAAAAGATTATCATCTCAAACCATAACTCAAATGTACATAACCAAACAAAAACTCAAGTTACAATTTCAATTCAAGTTATAACTTAAATTCAACTCAAAATCTATACTCAAGTCATCATAACTCAAAAATGTAAACAAACAAGTTCTAAGGTAAACAGTATAACCCAACTAGAGTCTCAACTCCTTCCCAAAAAAGGGAAAATTGGGGAAACAAAAATAACACAAAGTTGGCAGTGGCCTTCTCTAAATTTAGCAGAGGCTTTACTAAATGAAAAACTCTCATTGTAACAAAAAAAAGCTACTTAATATGTGTCAAATAGCGAAAGGGATAAATTGGAAATCCGGAGTGGGTCCCACCACAGACCACAAATAGCCAATGCCCTATAAATATGGGGAAAAAAAATATGCAGTCTTCACTTCCAAAACGGCAAATAACTCAAAATAGTTGAGTGGCTCTTCTCTCTAAATTTGGCAGTACTGGATTTACCATATGTAGCAATGATAATGAGCTTACCATATTTGCAGCAAATGAAATGACAGCCAAAATAGTCAAGGAGTAAATTGCACGCCACCCCCTTGAATTATAGTGGCTTTGGCACTTTTGTACATCATAAACTTTTTCTTGGCACATTACTCCTCTACATTTTGTACACTTCTTTTGCAATATGTAGGAACATTTGCAATTTCATTGTCACGCCCTGAAAATAGGGGCGTGATTATTTAAAATGAAACACAAAAATAAATAATAATCACCGGATTTACACCCAAAACCCATAATTCACAAGAAAAAACCTTGAATTACCATCTCGATAATACAATATTTTCTCAAAATTTTACATCGTCGGTAACAGTTACATGGACACTGAAAGTTAAAAATCTATACATCAAGCCTCAAATTCACCTCTAGCCAACTCCAAGAGCTTCACAGACCTCTCTAGCCACACATCACTAACTGGGGAAAAATTAATACAGTAAAACGTGAGCGAAATGCTCAATAAGATATTTTTAAAAATAATTGAAATAAGTAAACAACTGTAATGATTAAACCATAAACCAGCAACAAGAGATAATCCTGAATATCAAAATAATATATAGTAGTTCAAAGATATTAATTTCACCAGACCATCACCACGCTACAAAGCAACATACATGCCTATTAGGCTACGTACATATCTCAAACCCTTTAGAAACCAGAAAAACAAATCATAATATATATATATATATATCTCAATATGAATTACATTCAAATTTCTTAAAAACAGTAGAAACATCACATAAATCTCATGAGTAAAAACAATTAAAATAAAATTGCCAAAGAAAGGATATAATCAGTATCATACCTCAATCCATTCTCTTCTTCCTCGATTTCCTTTATCAGATTTTCTTTTCTTTGCTTCTATTTGGTTTGCCGTTACAACTCCCTTCTCAATTCTTTCCTTTCCTTTCTTTTCTCCACTTGGTTCATACTTGTTTATTCATTTCTTAATTCTCTCCTTTTTTTGCCGGATCTCTCTCTCTCTCCCTCTTTCTCTCTTGTTTTCTTTCTATTCGATTGCCTAACTCCCTTCTCCTTGCCTCATAAGTGTGTGTGTATATATGTATATACCTATATATATATATATATATATAGGTAAATAAAATGATCTTTAGAAAGACTTGTTTTTAGGTCAGGTGGTGTAGAGAAATTAAGGAGATAAGCATATGGAAATTACGTGGGATAGCTAGAAGAGTCTAGGGGTTGTTTTACAAATTTTAAAATCTAGGATAAAATTATAATTTTCCAAAACTTGGGGTCAAAAAATGTAATTTCACAAAACTTTGGAAAAAAATGTAAAAATTTCAAAATGCACCAAAAATCAGTTTTAAACGTAAATTTCATAAAAATATCACTGAAATTTAAAATATGCCCATATATAAATAATAACTCATTATTTAAAATAAACGGAGGTTACATTCATGAAAACTATGCCATGTTTATTTCACCGATTCGAGTTTAGAATTCGAGTTTTGTTATAGTAGAAAGCTCTCAGAAACAGTCACATCTAACTTTTTTGCTACAGTAAAAGGCTCTCACATAAAATCACATCTCAACTCGAATTAAAAACTCGAATCAGCAAACTAAACGGGCCTTAAAACACTTGTTAAAATATTTTAACTTAAATTTTCTACTTTTCTCGCTTTCTTAAAAACGTATAAAAGCTCCATTTTTGTAGTAAAGGAGTTTCACCACTTGCATTTAAGTTTAACTTGTTTCGTTTACAAAAGGGTTTCTTACTTTCTTTTATAGCACTATTATGTTGTGACTAAAGACATTGAACAAAATTTGAATCAGGAAAAGAAAAGAAATATGAAAGGAAATTTTAAAAAACTCAACAATATTATCAAAAGAGTCAAAATACTTCAAAAGAGCTAACTTTGTCATAGAAAAATTTTATCACGAGAAATTTCACGTGGTTACTTACATGACATAAAAATTCCATAAAAAAAAGTTAACAAACAATTCAAAATGGTTCATATTGCAAAAGAGTACAAAATATGGGAAAGAAACTTTATAATGGGTAAAGTGGAAAAAAAGACCATAATTCAAGGAGTTAAGTGCAATTTACCCTAATAAAAGGGAGGTCATCCAAATCTCCAAGGTGGGACCCAAAATGGGGCAGAGCAGAGACTGACTAAGGAAAATAATTAATACTTTGTAAGCACAAAAAAACAAAATAAAGTAAAAAGTGGGACCCAAGAGGAGGACCTATTAACACCAAAGCACTCTAAATGTGGCAAAAAAGAGTCATGCAACAACTCTAAATAGTATACAGAGCCATGCAAGCTTGCCGTTTCCGAGCTCTCGCCATTTGGGGTAAAAAACGCCCCTTTATCTTCTCCTCTTTCTCTATATTTGGCAACCCCTTCTCGTTTTCCAAGTTTAGCAGCAGCACAGAGAGAAGAGAGAGAGACCCATTAAGGGCTAGAGAGAGAAAGTCTAGAAATCACAAGCATTTTTATTTCTTTCATTTGCTGCTTCTTTTTTTCTTGGTGGGTTTTGAGTTTTTGATCGATTTCGGCAGCTGGGTTTTGTGGGGTTGTAAGAGATCGGAAATGGGTAGAGGGAAGATCGAGATCAAGAGGATTGAGAACGCCAATAGCAGGCAAGTAACGTTCTCGAAGAGAAGAAGTGGTCTTCTCAAGAAGGCTCAAGAACTTGCCATTCTCTGCGATGCTGAGGTTGCCGTTATAATCTTCTCCAACACTGGCAAGCTTTTCGAGTTCTCCAGTTGTGGGTATGGCGTTGAGAATATCTGGAAAAAAAAGTTTGCATTTTGATCTTTTTTTCTTTCTGGGAGATGTTTGCATGTGTGTTTTTGATCAGCATACTCTAAACTCTTGTCATTAAGGAGATTTTTTTTAATGGTTTGTTTGGATGGACTTATTTTCTCTTATTTTCCATGTTTTCTCTTTTTTTTTCCCTTTTTGGTTTCACCCAAAAAAAAAAAAATGCTCCCGACTTTAATGCCTTAATGTTCTTTTCACCCATGGATTTATCTGGGTTTTATTAGGTTTTTTAAATTCCTCTGTTTTCCCTATATTCCTTTCCCATTTCTTTTTGTTGTATTTGTTTACCAATGTTCATTTTGTTCAGAATTTGTAGTTTTGTACCGTTTCCTATACATATACATACATATATATATATATATGTATATATATTAATGCAGAAAGTTTTAGTTCATAATCATGTATAACTAAAAACATTTTATTCATTTTCTGATGTTTCACTTAGGCTTTTTTATTTTATTTTATTTTATTATTTTGTGTGTGTATGTGTGTGTCCTGGGCTCATTGGAAGGGTGAGGAAAGGTTCCTCTTTTACTGTTAAACAATACTTATGTTCTTTTTGATGTTTTTGCAGTATGAACAGAACGCTCTCAAGGTATAATAAGTGTGTAGATTGTCCTGACGCTCCTATTGTATCGAAAGCAGAGGTATTTTATGTGACATGTCATACAAATCTGTCATTTATCTTTCTTTTTTTTTTTTTTTTCCTTTCCTTTTTCGTGGCAATTAAGGTTGTGCTTCTTATTAGATAAATGTTCCACCCTTTTGACAGAGGAAAATAAATGTAAAATTAGTGAAGGAACTAGGTTATTTTATTTTTGAAATATACTTAAATACATCTTGATTAATTCTTCTAAATCATGATTGTTGATAGAACTAGTTTAGTGTGGGAGGTTTGAATTCGTTTTAAGAGAGGAATCACTTAATATACAAGAAGGGAGAACAAAATGGTAGGAGATCAATCAAATTCTTTGAGATTTCTAATATCATCTGCTGCTTCCGAATGAAAAAACACGCATAAATGTCTTTTTTTTTTTTTTTTTTTTTTTTGGTTATGCTTCACTGCTTATTTAGCGGTTGTACTCAACAGAAGAATTGCAAAACTACTCATCACAAAGTATTGAAAAGGATTAAAGACATTTCTAGATTCTTATGAACTGTGCCATATTGTAAAAACTACATATAATTTTACTCTGCTTGTTATAATGATAATTTTCCTCTTATGATGTTTTGGTTCAAATAAAAACAAACACTTTACTTGAGACTTGGTGTCTATTGGCCTCCTGGACATTCTTTTTCTGTCTTAGTTGTTGCATGTATTCTTCTCTTTTTATTAGATTCAGGATTACATTTTACGGACTTTTACATGCTATTGATGCTTTTAAGTGTACTTCTCAGAAGCAAGATTCCAAGGAGGTGGATGTTCTGAAAGACGAAATTGCAAAGCTACAAACGAAACAACTGTATGTATTCTTTGAGTTTTGGAACTTAAATTTCTGTGATTCTGCCAAGTTTCAAAAAGTGTAAAATGTTCAATGTTCTCCCTCTCCAGTCGTCTGTTGGGTAAGGACCTTGGCGGATTGAGCTTGAAAGAATTGCAGCACCTAGAACAGCAAGTAAATGAAGGGCTATCGTCGGTGAAGGAGAGAAAGGTCTGCAGATGTTTCTGTTTTCTTTTATCCACAAAGATTTACCATTACGAATATCAGATTGGTTTCAACTTATTTCCATAGTTTAAAAGGCCTTATTAGTTGTTCTTGCCATTTCAGGAGCAACTGCTGATGGAGCAACTAGAGCAATCGAGAATGCAGGTATTTGGAAGCCATCCAAAACTTAAAAATCTCACCAATTAGACCGAGAAATACCAAGCATAGCTATTGATTTTACATACTTAGGATAATTACTGTTTTGAGTCTTTTGACCAAAAGAAACAAAAGAAGTGAGATTGATAGTCTTATACAGTTTGTAGAGTAAATTCTATTCTATGTTTTGCTAACAAATGAAGTCTGAGTTTTCATATAGGCTTGAAACGATTCTTTTTTCTTTCTTATCTTTATGATCAAACCTTTTATTTTTGAAGTAATAATGTTAATGGTGATGGTTTCTCCCAATGTAAATCTTCGAATTATTGTTTGGTTTGTCTGGTTTAATGATAAAAAGTTACACTTCTTTTCTTGTAACAAAACAAACAAGTGAAGTCATTTTTGTATTCATCTTTGTCTTCTGTTTTCTTTTTGTTTCAGGAACAGCGTGCTATACTTGAGAATGAAACCTTGCGTAGACAGGTACATCTTGTCTTCACTGCGAAATTGAAGTTCTGATATTATCCTAACCCTGAGTATCAATCTAATATGTACATATTTCTTACTCTTGTAATTTGTAGATTGAGGAACTTCGATGTTTATTTCCTCGAACCGAATGCACAGTCCCATCCTATCTTGAATACTATCCCATAGAAAAGAAAAATCCCATTGCAAACCACAGTGGCATTGGCCAAGATGTGGCCTCCACTTTTGCAGTTGAGAAAGGAGATTCTGACACCACTTTGCATTTAGGGTAAGTTCTACATATCATATTTTGAGCCTTCACTGAATTACAACAATTTTGTGCTGCATATTACTTCTTGTACTTATGTGAGCTTTTAAGCATTTTCCTCTGCCAAATCTGCGTTTTCTGCTGCTAATTAGTGATGCTTAAGTACTTTTTTCTATCAAAACTCATGCATTTTATGCTGCTAATTTGTTTTTTACTACTTGAAACTTATGGTTCAGTCATATTTACTCAATGCTTTTTTTTTTTTTTTTTTTCTCCTCAGGCTTTCTAATGATGTTTATAGGAAGATGAAGGCTCCTGAGCAAGAAATGCAATCCAATGACTCAGGAAGCCACATGAGCTTACTTTGATCTCTTTTTTATACAATCAGCAGAACTGAAATGAATCTGATCATTTTTCTAGTTTGGCAATTTTTGTTGACAACCCCGTAACAAGATTATGTAGGCAAAGTGAGTTCAGACAGGTGTTTCTTTTAGGTTTGTTCTGGTTGGAGTAGAAAATAATTGTATTTAATCAGTAATTGGCTATGGACATTGCAAAACTGTAGCTCTCTTTTAGTACGGCATCAAAATGGCCTCTATTGTAATTCTAAAACAAGGGTTGATTTTCTCTTTTTTGCAACTAGTTTATCTTACTTCCTTGTCTCATGGTTTTTCAGGCTGCAGTTTATCTTGAATACAGGGTTGAGTTGTTTCATCTCTGATTCCTTCCCTTTCTCATCCAAAAAATAAAATAAAATAAATAAAAGTGTAAAAGAAACCATGTCCTATAATGGCTCATGGGATTTAAAGACCCTACTGTGAAACTAAAAAATAAAAAAGCTTCAAAGTTCGGATTAAAACCAAGCAATTAGCTTGAGTAAATGAACAATTGAATCTTGTATTTCTGTATGTACATTGAATTCATGAAAATTACGTTTACATTGTACAATCAAAATGGGAAAGAAAAATGAACATGATAAAGAACACAAACGTTTTAATCTGGCAAAGCTTTATACACAAGTGGGTGGCTATTCTTTTCTCTGTTGAAAGCCATTGAGCAACAGATTTCTCCCTCTCAAAACCTCATGGAAGAGACTATCCACCTCATTCTCAAAACCTTCTAGAACCTTCTCAAGCACCTCCAATCTCCTCCTAAATTCCTCAGCTTCACCATTCCTTTCCCCATTTCCAATTATTGCAGCCTCAAGGCAAGCCACTGAGTGATTCACCTCTTTCACTTCCTTGAGCTCAAAAGTACTTGAATCCAATCCACCAAAAGAAGCTTCCAAAAACCCACCTCCAAATTTCCTCATCTCACCATATTCCTTGGAATTATCACCCCCACACAAACAAGACAACACAACCCCACATACCCAAAATCCCAAACTCTCCATAACCATCACAGCTTTGTGGATCACCTCTTCTTTGCTTGAGCAAGACCCTTTCTCTCTCTCCTCTCTCTCTCTTCTTCTAAACTCCTTCTTCAAGCTCATTGACTGAATTGCCTTGAGATATTTCAAAGCCAAATCAGGGGAATTCTCCTCCAATCTCAAGCCATAAGACAACAAAAGCCTGGCTTGGCCAAGGTGAGAAAGAGAAGCTGTAATGGAGTTGAAAAGCTCAAGCAAGTTGAGGGTGTAGCTGAGATATTCCTCCACAGAAGAGGCTCCCCACTTGCTCAAAGGATGGTCTATGGCCACAACAAGCTTGGCAAAGGCCTTGTTGGTCATAGAGATGAGCTCAAAACGCTGCTGAATCCATGAAAACGACATAATTGTTTCTGACCCAGAAGATGAAAGCTTGCTCAAGCCATTTGAGACATCAGAGAGAAATGCCTCAAGAGAAGCTGATAAAGTCTCAGATGATTGGAAATTCTCCAGCTTCGAATAGAGCTTGTTGATCTTAGCTACTAAGAGTACCATATCAACAGAAATTAATCACAGAAGAAAATGCTCTCAAAAAAGTTTTGTTCCTGATTGTTTTTGTTGTGTGAATTTGTCCTTGTACTTGTTTATATATATATATATATATATATATATAAAGTTTTTCTTGCTTTTGGTCCAAGGTTTCAACAAAAACGTGAGCTTATTGGTTGTTGGTATACAAGGCCGCGTAAGGAAGTTCAAAACCACTCTTATTATATTAATATTATTGGCGGCTTGGTCAAAGGCGCTTATCGTTTTGTACACTGTTTTCTTTCTTTCTTCTCGTTTATTATTACTAATAATAGTAATAATATTTTATTAATTTTATGGATAATCAGTTAATCACACACGCTTCCTAGCAACTTGTCCACCAGTGATCTTGATCTGGAAGCTGTTTTCTGGAAGGGACAAAATAGGGGAAAAAAAAAAGAGATTTCTTCTTCGTGTTTCTTTGTGGATAGGCATCTTTTATTTCTCATTAGCAAAATAAAGTACAAAATAGAGTACTTTTCATTAGCTAATTAAAAATTAAAATAATTATAAAAAATAAATAAACAAATGAATATCAAACTGTAACAGTCATGTTATGCGTGTTGCTCATGTTGTGTTGCACTAATTAGCAGAATACAGTGGACGGTTACGGTTAGTTGTACTTGTGCCCATTGATTTTACACACAATAATATGGGTTTAGTACTTTACGTATTTGTATCTACTATCTAACCATACAGTTATTATTTTATACTAGTTTGATCATAAGATAGAGAGATTTTTTAATACGTCTAGCTAGCGTATTCAGTAAACAATTTTATATAATTTAACGGATAAAAAATTTAACTTATTAATATGTTGGTATACTGAAAAAGATCATCATAAAATATTAATAAATAACAAATAATTACGCGAAATTCCTTTTTTTCCGTCTCTGAGTGTCTCCAATGCAGTGCTGAATTAGTGTGTTTATGGCGAATACTTGTTTTGAAAAAGGATTATTATTGACTGAATAATAAAAAAAATAAAAATACTATTGCGTAATTTGGCTTCTTTTTTTGTTTTTGTTTTTTTTTTTTTTTGTTCGCTGAAAACTGGGGAGTAGTGGGCAACATATGCAAGACATATATATGCTCACACGTTTTGCTCTCAACTTGATATATGATGAAATGATTGGGGGACAAAGCTCGTGGTTGATCAGGTTGTTTAGAAAAACCATAAACAATATTGGACAGCTGTACGGCTAATTGTACCCACAGGTTTCAGGTCTATAGCTCACTCCAGTTTGTGTTTCCACCGACTTTACAAATTTTTACTTTTTATTTTTTAAAGTTAAAAAAGGATTAAATAGACTTCTTCGTATCTTTCAACTATAACAGTAATTTTTACTGTACGTTTAATTCATAAATTTAAAATTATAATTTAAAATTATTTTTATTTTACATGTATTTTTTCATGAAAAAAAAATATAATAAAAAATTATGAATTATAAATAAATAAATAAATAAATGTCCCTTTAGAGATTACCGAGAAATAGAAAGAGCTTGAACCATACTCAATCCTTTCACCAACCAAAGTTCCTCCATTTTGTCACGGGACCCGCTTAGATGGAAAGAGGAGTTCTAACAAAAGCATCCTCACACTCCACCACATCCTTATTTTACTAGAATATAATAAACCATATTTTATTTTGGTCACTCATTTAATAATACAGTAAAAACCTTCTAAAAAAGCTTATAAAATAAGGAGAATTCCTTAATAAGGTATAAACAGCATCATCGATAAGATACAACTATAAATCAACAGATCTTTTATTTTTCAATTTAATATGACGATTTAGAACTATTTCAAATATATTTTTTTTTTTTTTTCACACACTACCATATAGTTCTTATTGATTACAATATATTTGGTCTAGTCAAATACGTGAGAAGCCATTAGAGTGTGGGTTATTGCCAAAATTTTATTATTATTTCTAACATTGCTACGTGGATCATGTGGGTGGTGGCTGGGAAGATTGTTCCTTAGAAGATAATATTAAAACCCCTGAATAATCACAAATTAATCAAATAAGTTCACATTGTTATATAATAATCACAAATTAAAAGCGTGCAATCACCGTGTTATTGTTCATGTTGGGGCAGGATGTAATTCACCAATTAAGTTGTGTTAGCTACACATATTTTGTTACGTGCGGCAAGGTAAAAATTAAAAATACTTTATTGCTAGATGGTAATTCTGAACAGTTAGATTCTTATTTCTATTATTTTGCATATCCTGTTGTCGTGATATATAATTTTAATATGATTTGATATTCCACCACTGTGCAATACTATTAGGAGTTTTTTTTTCTTTTTTTTTTTTTTCCTCCCGCCATAAATTAAAATTTCTCTCTCTATATATAGATAGTAAAGAACTATAAATCTGTCAACATGGTCAAGAAACCTGAATGAGACCATGTTATTGTGGGTTGAGATAAGATTGAAGCTTGTATATATTGTATTCTGGTTTTGTTTGGGAAGAAACGTCAAGCTAATGTGTTTGACAAAGAGGTCAGACTTTTTTCGGTAGGTTTTCCTTCCGGTAGAGTCAGTTTTTAACTTTTAGATTTGTTTAAAATCATATTAAATTAAAAAAATATGTAAAATAAATAATTTATAATACAAATTTAACAGCTAAAAAGTAAATAACTACCGGTCCTACAAAAAAAACTCCAAGTTCTTAATAATGTAACAAGCAGCCTTATGTACTAGAAAAAGAATTAGCTTATTGACAATATAACTACTAATCTTATCTAGTGATAATGAAGTTGACTTCTCAACTAGATAGATTTTGACGTTTTCCATTTCCCTCGAGCAAACAAAATTGAGATTGAAAAAAAGGAAATTTATTGTTCTTAATTAGTCTGAACATTCTTAGTACCATTTTAAAACACCTTCTCAAAAAGAAATTTGACTTGTCAAAGCTCAAGCTTTGGGATGGTATGAAAAGGTCATAATAAGAAGAGAGGGAAAGGTTTGAATCCTTAATTCCTAGAAAAATTGTCCCTTAAAAAACCTTTGTCATGTGAAGAAATTTTTGGCCACGGTCTTATTCAAATAGAGAGGCAGAATTCTAGGAGAAGATAAAATATGAAGATTCCACCTTTTTTTTTTTTTTTTGCTTTTTATTATTAGTCATTTAAAAGGGGAAGCAATTGCTTAAAGTGTTATCAAACTTTCAAAATGTGAAGGGCTTGCGAAAAACAATGAAATCACATTAAAAAATCAGTATTTTTTGCACGATTTTAGATCACCAAATCACAATATAATCAAATAATCAATGTCAAGTTAAGAAATGTCTAACAATTTTAAGCTAACTTAATGAAGATATGATAGTGCAAATATGTGTTCTAGTAGTCAAATACTTTTTTAATACTATTTTCATATAGCTCCCAAGTTCTTTAAAGGATACCCATACCAAACAGTGGAAATTAGAGAATTAGAATTCATGAATTCAGTACTATAAAAGAAAGTTATTGGTTAATATTATTTTTAGTTAAATATAACTATATTAATAAAAAAAAGTATTAATAAAAAATAATGGGTCTGTTTGTTTTTATTTTCGTTTTTGTTTTTCACGTTTTTCGAAACTAAAAAATGAAAACACACTCTAAAAACGTGTTTGGCACAAAACTTTTCAAAAAACAAAAACAAAAACAAAAACGTTTTTGTCTTTTTGTGAAAAAATGAAAACGAAAAAAATCCGTTTTCTCGTTTTCGTTTTCATTCTTCTGAAAACAGTTTTCATTTTTTTTTTCTTCTCTCTCTTCTCCATTGCCCACCACCCCCGATAGCCCCCTCCCCCACTCCGACATCAACACCGATTGAAGGAGATGAAGGACGCCGGAGATGAAGGACGACAGAGAAAGACGTCGTCGGAGATGCGGTTGCTTGGTGGCTATCGTCAGTCGTCGGAGGCCGCCGCCGTCACTACGCCCACGTGAACACCACCATCAACACCGACTGAAGGAGATGAAGGATGGAGAGAGAGAGAGAGAGAGAGATGCGGGAGATGAAGGAGATGAAGGAGC